AAAATATTCTGAATGATACGTTCAATATCTTACTATACTGTACACTACAGAGATTCAAAATATTCTGAATGATACGTTCAATATCTTACTATACTGTACACTTCAGAGATTCAAAAGATTCTGAATGATACGTTCAATATCTTACTATACTGTACACTTCAGAGATTCAAAAGATTCTGAATGATACGTTCAATATGATCTCCTTACTGTGAAATCATATGACACATCACTGCGCACAACATTGTGAATTATATCCTGGGTAATTCCATACACTTCTTCAGTTATTTTTGCGCGTGTAACCCACATTAAAATAACCTCAGCGAAAAAAAAATCACAAGGGCACATAATCATATGACATTAGATGCCTGGATAATTCATATCTATCCATCTATATAGATAGATAGATATATAGATATATCAAGGTACCTCTTCAAAAAAGAAGTTACATTCGAAGGTTTCGCAAGCGAAGAAAATTCAACACATTGTTTGCTACATCCTGCCACCTACCGTTTGAACTTCCTATATATATGCAGTGCAATATTGCAAAGCTTCGTAACGTTCGCTTGTCTGCTTCACAGTTATTACAAATACGAAATGCAGTTGTATAAAAAACATCACCTTGTCGTTTGTCCTCACTTTATCAGCTTATTGTTACTTTAGTTGTACGTCGTGGCGGACATTGTGGTTAGCGTGCTGGTCTGTGAATCCAAGGGTCCCAGTTCGCGTCCCGTTGTTTCGAAATCATTGGGTCTATGAGCTACTTTTAAGAGCTATGGTCAAATCGTATTATACGATTAGAACAGTCCAAGAGTTGGCGGTGTTGACTATTCGCCTTCTTTCTATAGCATATCAGTTCAAAATGGACGACATTGTGCAACATTGCGCGATTATTCAAAATACACAAATAGTCGCTAACGTCTCATCTTATCGCTATTTTAACGTCTAATTTAACACCTTGTTGCTTCGTTCGAGTGTGTTTTAAGAATGTTATTAATATTATGTTAAGACATTAGAGCTATAAATAGTTAAGGATTTGTGTATCGCAAATATCAGGTGAAATATACATAATTGTTTTACTACAAATGACACTTTTTGGTTACATTTTGTTTTCTCTAAAATTATTTTTGAAACAAGCGGCTTTTGAGGCATTGCATGAAATTTATAGTTGTTATAATTTCTTCACAAACTTACAGATTCACAGAGTCGACTTTGAACATATATATGCATATTTAAAATTTACCCCTTTTTCAAAGACAAATAATTTTTCTTCCAACTCCGAAATGTAAGACTAAAATAAGCTTTTCACGTTTAATCGAAAATTCCTTCATTCATGTCTTACTTTTCTTTTTCCATTTGATTAAACAAGATAACATTATCAGACTACCACAAAGAAAAGAAGTAAATAGCTCAGAAAACAAAAATAATGCATTTTTTATTTCTGTAAGAAACACGTATTTAGGGCTAGGCTGATTCTACTTCTCTCGCCCTTAGGCTTTAAATACTTTCTGCGTTGCCCTATTAATAAATCAAAACGGAAGCCATATTTTTACGTAAAAAATCACCTCCTGATGCAATGAAAATGGAGAGGTCAAATTTACCCCAGTTGTGTGTTTTTTACTTTGTCATTTTTACATTACATCTTTACACATTTATACATCATTATATAACTAGGCGCTTTTTGTAAAATACATACTTACTGAGCTTAACATTTCATGTAACTTGGCTTTTTTTCATAAATAGCACATCTTTATATGATTGGTCCCTTTGTTTTCTAACTTGGTTGTTTTTTTTTTACACGTAAAGTGTTTTGGGTGGATTAATTTTACAGTGAGCACATTTCTCTGCTTTTTTTTAGTTCTAATGACTTTTTATTGTAATTTCGTCGAATTGACATTATACCAACATTACCATCTTCTACACGGCTTGCATTATTATCTTTTTGTCATTTATTTGTTTGTTTAAGAATTTTCACGCAAAACTACACAAAGGTCAATCTACGTTTATCTATATCTAATTTTGAGCTAATAGACGAGAAGGAAGCCAACTAGCCAGCACATCCAACGTCAACTACTGGGTTACTCTTGTCTAATCGAATAGAGGGATTCGACTGTCACTGTTATAACGCACACAAGACCTCAAAGAATGGAACACTTTTATGTGACAACGAGCTTCGAACTTGAAATCTTCGGATTTATTGCCTGAACAACTAACCGTTAGTCCACACCCAGTCCATTATCATTTGTACAAACCATTTTCATTGGAATCGCATATATCGGATATTTGTACAAGCGAGTATTTTCAGTAAAATAATTTTGCAATCATAAGTATCCGATAAAAACAAAGAAAATCTGTGATTTGAAAAATAGTGTTTATTGTTATTATGGTCACTTCTGATACGTTTCGTTATATTGCTCTCAAACAACTATATAGCGATCGAAAACACTGTGATGTTTTTCTACTTTACTTATATACAAACAAAACATATTGTAATTTGTCGAAACACTTTTATAGATTGTGATATTTTTACCTAAAGTTTTATTCCTTAAATGTTTTAAAAATATATAAATCTTGGCAAATGCTTTACTGTGTTTTTTTAAAGAGCTTTAAACAGTCATTGAAGACATTCTCCCAGCTCGAAAAACTGAAATTAAAATTACGAGAAAGAAATTAACATGAATATGAAAACGATTTGAGACAAAAACAAACGGTTTTAGTTTCTTAACTTCTAATGTTGATGTTCGTAGTTCAAAGAGTTTGATGAATATTTACGTT